TAACCAAAATCACAAATTTGTTGTGCTTTTTCCCCTTCAGCCCATCACTCATTTTGGGAGGGTAGGCCTTCAGACCGGTGATATTGCCGCACAAAGCGTTATTATCTCTGAATGCCTCAAATGAAGCCTTCTGAAAGACTTTTTGTTGGGAAGAGGTCCCTCCAAATGATTATAAGATATATCAACAGATATCAAACTTAGCATACCATTGAAAGTAAGTGGGATGGAATCTAAGAGCCCATTTTGAGATAGATTCAGTGACTCTAAGTTGTGCAGTTCTCCAATCTCTTGTGGTATCTCACCTATTAGTGAATTTTGGCCAAGATAAAGATTTTGAAGAGAGTGCAACTTGCTTATGTTGATAGGAATATCTCCCCCAAGTTTATTCTTGCTCAAGTTCAAGCTTAGTAGCTTCACACACTCCCCTAATTGTTTTGGGACCAAGCCACTAAGCTTATTTGCTGCCAAGTTTAGATTTTGTAGGTCAAATAAGCTACCAATTTCTAGTGGAATGTTGCCAAAAAGTTTGTTATCACTTAGAGTAAGGTCGAACAATGAGTGCAACTTTCCCAGATTATGTGGGATCTCCCCAACTAGATGATTTGAAGAGAGATCAAGTACATGTAGTTGAATTGCATTTCCAAGCTCAGAAGGTATCCTCCCAGAAATATTATTGTTGGAGATCTTCAGGCTTGTCAGATTATGACAAAGTCCTCATTTTGAATGAAAAAGAAAATAGAACTCTTGTATATTTGATATCTGAAGAAAGAGGTACACTCTCCGTTATATAGGAGAGAACATTACAAACATCATCATGCCAAAGTGGTGCCGAAAGGGAAAGGGCAAGCCGAAAGATTCCACTATCTATCTGTATAGTCTATACTTTATATATATAGTAACAGTAGGCCTGATACATTAAAAATATTATATTATTATATACATTAACAATACATATATTATTATATACATTAACAGCCCCCCGCAAACTCAAGGATGATAAATATCAACCAACTGGAATTTGGAAACAAGGTCAACGAAGCGGCCAGGAGAATGAGCTTTGGTGAAGATATCAGCAGGTTGATCAGTAGAAGAGATTGGATGGAGATGAATAGTACCACGAGTGACATGTTGACGAATAAAGTGGCAGTCAAGCTCAATGTGTTTGGTGCGATCATGAAAAACATCATTGTGAGCAATTTGAATAGCACTTTGATTGTCACAAAAGAGGGCAGTGGCACCAGAGGAGGGAACATCCATGTTGGCAAAAAGCCAACAAAGCCAGAGAAGCTCCTAAGTAGTATCAGCAAGAGCACGATATTCGACCTCAGTACTGGAATGAACTGTAAGAGATTGTTTCTTGCTGAGCCAAGAAATAAGAGAATCTCCCAAGAAAAAGCAGAAACCAATAGTAGAGGGGCGGTCAGTAGGATCCCCAGCCCAATCAGCATCGGATAAAGCACGAAGCTGAAGAGAGGAGTGGGCGGAATAGTGAAGACCATGAAACAAGGTGCCTTTGAGATAACGAATGATACGAACTAAAGCATCAAAATGAGGGGTACACGGAACCGACATATATTGGTTGACAATATGAACGGCATAGGCAATATCAGGATGAGTAACAGTGAGATAGACAAGGCTACCAACCAGCTGATGATATAGGGTAGCATCAGAGAGGAGAGTGCCATCAAGAAGAGTAAGCTGACTCTGAGGCTCCAGGGGAGTGGAGGCAGTCTTGCAATCTATAAGACCAGCGCGTGTGAGAAGATAAGAGGTATACTTAGCCTGAGAGAGAAACAAACCCGTGGAATCATGGGAGATTTCAAGACCCAAGAAATAGTGTAGTGGACCAAGGTCTTTCATCTCAAAATGATGGCTAAGAAACTGTTTGAGGTGAAGAATACCAGCCACATCATCACCGGCGATAATCATGTCATTCACATAAAGCAGAAGCAGGGTGGTCCCGTGAGCAATTTTCCTCATAAAAAGAGCAGTATCATAAGAACTGGAGGTGAAACCACAATCATGAATAGTAGAGCTGAACTTGGCAAACCAAGCGCGTAGGGCTTGCTTGAGACCATATAAGGCACACTATAGTTTGCAGACCTTATGAGGTGGATAAGTAGACCCAGGAGGAGGGTGCATGTAGACCTCCTCGAGAAGAACACCATTAAGAAAAGCATTTTTCACGTCCAGTTGGTAAAGGTCCCATTGACGGGTGGAAGCAACAGCAAACAAGCTGCGAACAGAGGTGAGACGGGCAACAGGAGCAAAGGTCTCCTCATAATCAATACCATATTCCTGGTTGAAGCCTTTGGCAACAAGGTGAGCTTTGTAGCCCTCAATAGAGCCCTCAATAGAGCCATCAAAACAGGTCTTGATTTTGTACACCCATTTGCAGCCAATGGCAGTCTTGCCGGGAGGGAGATCAATAACGTCCCAAGTATGAGTTTTGGCTAAAGCCTGCAATTATTCAATCATAGCATGCTGCCAAAGAGGATTAGAGCAAGCCTCACGATAGGAGGTAGGTTCATGAGTAGAAAAAGCAGTGAAACCAACAATATAATCACGAAGACGAGTAAAAGCCTAGGTTACTCGGTATGGACGAGCCAAAGGTGGAGGAGCCAGAGTGCATGGGAGAGACTCAAGAGGAAGTGAGGAACCCGAGGAAGTAGAACCGTCAAGACGAGCAGGCTCACGGGAAAGACCAATAGGCAAGGAGGTCTCAAGAGGTGCAGGTAGAGACGGGTGATCAACTTCATCAGAAAAGAGATCGGTGGAAGGGTCAATAAAAAAAAAAGAGGGTGAGGGATTGGATAAGGAGAAGTGAGAAAGAGAGGAAAACATCTTGTGCTCCCAAAAAACCACATGACGGGAGATACAGAGGCACTGGGAGATAGGATCCCAACAACGATACCCTTTATGTTCAATACCATACCCCAAGAAGCAACAAAGACGTGAACGAGGTTCAAGTTTGTTGTGTTCATGAGGTTGGAGAAGAACAAAACAGGCAGACCCAAAGACCCTAAGATTGGTGCAAGGGGGACGAGTGCCATGCAAACGCTCATACGGAGTGTGATTATGAATGATAGGGGTAGGGATACAATTGATAGTGTAAGCAGCAGTGAGAGCAACTTCACCCCAAAAAATTTTCGGACAAGAGAAAGAGAGAAGGAAAGCTCGAGTAATGTCGAGAATATACCGATGTTTTCGTTCAGTACGTCCATTTTGTTGAGACGTGCCTGGACAAAAACGATGAGGTTGAGTACCATGACTCTGAAAAGAAAGAAAATCAAAATCTTTATATTCCATGGCATTGTCGGAGCGAAAAATCTTAATAGTTTTAGAAAATTGGGTCTGTACCATTGTAGCAAAATTGTAATAAATTTGTTTGAGTTTAGAGCGATTTTTCATAAGAAACAACCATGTAAAACGGGAGAAATCATCTATAAAAACAACAAAATAGCGTGCACCTCCCATAGTAAGAGTAGGGGAGGGGCCCCAAATATCAGAATGGATGAGATCAAAAGGTGCAAAAGAAATAGAGTCACTTTTATTAAATGATAAAGTAGGTTATTTGGCAAGTTGACATGACAAACAATCTAAAGTATCAGAACTAATAGGACCTAATTGAGCACTAGAAATTAAAGACTTTAACAGACCAACAGAAAGATGGCCTAAACGACAGTGCCAAAGCTGAAAAGGAGATAAAAGAGGAGCAGTGGTAGGAGTTGCGACCTGAGAAGAAACCGGAACATAAAGATGGATGAGTTCATAGAGGCGTCCATGCTTACAGCCGATCCCAAGAGTCCGTCCCGTCTGAGGGTCCTGCACTAAACAACCAGTATGAGAAAAGGTAACAGTTAAACCATGCTCACATAATTGACTAATGGAGATAAGGTTTAAGGTAAGAGCAGGCATAAGATACACATGAGAAAAAGATAGGTGAGAGGTGGAAACAGAACCAACATGACTTACAGATAAAAGAGACCCATCAGCAGTATGAATAGAAAGAGCATGAGGATCAAAAGAGAAAGAAGTAAAAATAGTAGGGTCAAAGGTCATGTGATTACAACAAGCTGAGTCAAAGTACCAAGAAGTGTTACCTGAGGTGACAGACAAAGCAGTAGAGGGAGAAGTACCGGAAGTGGAGAGAAATTGTTGGAACATGGCTTCGACATCGGTTTGAGAAAAGACTGGAATAGAAGGGTCTATAGGCACAGAAGGAGGTAAATGCTCTGAGGCAGCAGCAGCAGTGCGAGGAACAGACATAGATTTAAACGGATGCCCAGATCGTTGAGAGTTGCCCCGTGAAAAATTCCCGGTGGAAGGACCATTGCGAGAGGATGAACTAGATGAGGCTCGTGTTGGATTGCGAAAGCAATCTTGCTGTAGATAACTAGGGCCAGTCTTGTTGCAAAACCGACAAAGGCGAATTGGACAATGAACGAAATAATGAGTAGACGGAAGACCTCTGTTTTGACAGTAATTGCAGGCAGTGGACCATTGTGGTGAAGAAGAACTCTGAGTCTGGGGAGTAGCAAGAACAAAGTCCACAGGGTGCAGGTAAAGAGTACCAAGTCGAGTTTCCTCTGATAGTAGTTCGGAAATAGCCTGCTCAATAGTGGGTAAAGGAGTGCGATGAAGGAGAGATGCACGCACTGGCTCAAAATAGGGAGTAAGAGCCATAAGAAACTGAACCAATCGTTGTTGGTCACAGTAAATAGTAAACAAGGCAGCATCCTCAGTATGGGGCCAAGGAGGTTCAGAGAGAGCGAGCTGATCCCAAATAGAATAAATTTGGGAGAGGAAATCATTAATAGGCCGAGTTGGCTCTTGGCGCATACGGTGAAGATGACTCTGATGCTGATATTGGTGAGCAAGGCCAGTAGTCTGATATCAGTCTTTCAAGAAACCCAGATGTCTTTTGCCGGAGTGGAAATAGAGTCAAGTTGGAATCAACCAAACTAAAGGCTGACGGATGTAGTAGATGTATTCCGAAGCTAAGTGATGATCTGATAGTTCTTACTGTTCCAATCCTCCAAGCGGTCTACATATTTGTCAGCTGATTTAGCAGTCTCTTGGATGGGTTTGCGCACATCCCCAGTGATAATACGCCAAAGTTTCTTGCCTTTGAGGAAGCCAGACATGGCTTGTGTCCATAAGACATAATTGGTCCCGTTAAGAACAACGAAAATAGGGTGATGAGAAGAGTCCGGACGATCCATGAAGGAAAAACAACACTATAGATGTAGAATCTGAAAAAATCGAGGTTACCAGTGAATTCAGAGGGTCAAAATCAATGGGAAGAGGACTGAACAGGCCAAAAATACGACCGGAAAGGCAGTAAATTGGCTAGTCAAAGTGAGTTGACTATTCTGGTCAACAAATTTGGTTAAACAAAGATGATGTCACAGCTGCAGGGATGATGTCATAGGCACGACACACGTTAGCATAGAGGCGTGCGGCGCACGAAAGCAGCCAGGGCTGACGTCAGAAAAACGCGGCTCACGTTAGCAGATGAGGCTGCGGTGCACAATAGCACGAGACAAGTGTAGGAGGTACGTAGGGCACGTCTGATAACTAGGCAGCGCGTGGCCTAATGTCCTGGCGGTGCGTAGGGGCACGTGAAGCATCGAATGATAATAAATCTGGTGGCGTTGGCTTTGTCGTGAAGAGACGAAGGGGCTGGTGTTGTCCATTCTGTAAATTAGAAAATGACAAGATACGCAGCAATCTGCCAGACAGAAAATGTGATGCAGCGGAAAAGGAGACTAGGAAAAACACATGTGCTCTAATACCATGAAAGGGAAAATAGAACTCTTGTATATTTGATATCTGAATAAAGAGGTACACTCTCCGTTATATAAGAGAGAACATTACAAACATCATCATGCCAAAGTGGCGCCGAAAGGGAAAAGGCAAGCCGAAAGATTCCACTATCTATCTGTATAGTCTATACTTTATATATATAGTAACAGTAGGCCTGATACATTATTAACAATTATATTATTATATACATTAACAACACATATATTATTATATACATTAACATTGTAGATAGCTCACCATATAAATGATTATAACTCAAGTCAATATAATTTAAATTTGGGTATACACCGAAATCTTCTGATATATTTGCTACAAGTTCGTTTCTGTCAAGCCTAAGTCTGTACAATCTAGCACAAACTTTCAAGCTTTTTGGGATCGAGCCTGTTAGATTATTGTCAGATGCAGAAAAATATTCAAGTAATCCACCAAGGCATACATTGTGTGGTAAATGACCTGTAAGCCTATTAAAAGCTAACTGTAAGCTTTGTAAATGTGTAAGATTATTAAATGACAGAGGAATGGAGCCAGATAGTTGATTACTTAATAAAATCAATTGTTTGAGCTTATTTAAGTTTCCAATACTAGAAGGAATGTTTCCCGATAGTGTGTTGGCATAAAGGTTCAGAATGGTTAAGTTGGCCAAGTTCCCTATAGAGGTCGGGATTGAACCTGTGAGATTATTTGTTGACAAATCAAGTTCATTGAGAGACATAAGATTTCCGATTTCTTGAGGGATAAACCCAGAAAGTTTGTTTCCATAAAGGTATAAGATGGTTAAATTGGTCAAGTTCCCTATTGCGGCAGGGATTGAACCTGTGAGGTTATTAAAAGTGAGAGACAACTTATGTAGAGACCTTAACGATCCAACTTCTTCAGGGATCGATTCAGAAAGTTGGTTTTCATAAAGGCTTAAAATGGTTAAGTTGGCCAAGTTCTGTATAGAAGTAGGGATTGAACCTATGAGATTGTTCCTTGACATTTGGAGATCAATGAGAGATCTTAGCATCCCAACTTCTTGAGGGATTGATCCAACAAATTTATTTTTGGTAAGGCGTAATTTGGTTAAATTACCTAAGTTTCCAATAGACGAAGGTATTGGACCTGAAAGATTGTTAGAATACAAAAGGAGTTTCCTGAGAGAGCTAAGCATTCCTATTTCGGATGGAATTGTTCCTGAAAGATGATTGTAGGACAAGCATAGGTAGGTAAGTCTCACAAGGCTACCAATGTTTGAGGGGATGGTCCCATGGATTGAGTTGTTATAAAGTTCAAGGCTGACAAGATGAAGGAAGGAAGAGAAGTTAAGATTGAAAAGTATACCTCTCAAACCGTAATTCTCAAGGTCTATATGGGTGACTCTACCGGCTTTGTTGCATCCAATTCCAACCCAACTGCAATGGTTGCTTGCATCCCAAGATGATAGAAGAGATTGGCTCTGGTTGTTAAGGCTAGCTTTCCCTGTCAAGAGAGCGACTACTTCAGTTCCTTCTTCTCCAAATTCTTTATTTGCAGAAGAAGCATGAGCAGCAGAATCAGAAGAAGAGACGAACGCAATAATGATTGTTAGGTCCCTTAGTCTTATCAATCCCGCGAATAACTTGTGTGATTGAGTTGTAAAATTTCCTTACTATTTTGTTTTCCTCGCTCGAGCGAAGGACTGCGTCTAGCTACAACCTGAAAGAGATGAATGTGCGCTCGAGCGAAGCATATGTGGCTCAAGCGAAGGACTACGTCTGCATAAAAACCTGAAAGAGTTTATTGTTCGCTCAAGCGAAGGTTTCGTGGCTCGAGCGAAGGCACTTATGGAAATCACGCGAGTTAAGGTTCTCAGTCGAGCGAGAGAAGCTTCGCTCGAGCGAGCTTCAAAATCCAGGATTTCTATAAGTAGTTGTTTTACTCCAAAAACTAGAATTAACTTTTTCAGATCTACTTTGAGGTTTTCTAAGGTTTTCTTCTAGAGTGTTTTTGTGAGTTTTCCTTGATAAAATTGAATGAGTATTAAACTCATGAATTGACAAGCACATATCAAGGAGGTTGATTGAATACATACAAGAGTGTTATTCTTCGGTGGATTCCGAAGATTCAAACGTGGAGTTTCAAAGGAGTTTGAGTCTGTGCGTAGTCGTTGATTCGACAAGTGAAGTATTCAACTTCAGATTAATCAATTCCGAGACAAAGGCTTGGTGAAAGAGTTACAGAAGGTTTGAAGACAAATTGACTGAGTTGGGTAAAAATCGTTTGTGTTGATTACAATTGAAGGTTCTTCAATTGTAGTTTTTCCACGTAAAAATTGTTTGTGTCGATTTATTGTTTATTTCAAAAACAACAATCTAAATCACTTTCGTAAGTGCATCATGATTTAGATTGTGTGTTTTGAATAATTGGGAATTAAAATATTTTAATCTTGATCTAATCATGAATCACTTAGGATTTTCAATGATGATAAAAACAAACAAAACTTGGAAAGAAATGAACTGGTTGGACAGCCTCTTTACTGAGGGTGTCATTGTTGGTTTGTTACCACAAACAATGAGCAGTTATTTGGATGGAAGGATGATGAAGGGCATGAAGTTCTTTTGCTCCATGGGAAGGTAATTTATAGATAGAAAATGCAAATATATAATCAAATACTGAGCTATGAAGTTCACACTGGTTCAATTTGATAGACATACAAGATCTCATATCTACAGGGAGGAAATGGGGAAGAAATTCTATTATGATTCACACATCAGATCCTTTGAATAATGATTTCCTGTAGTTCAAGCACATCTCTCTTTCTAGTTTCACGCTGGCCTAATGAATGAAAGTCAGTCTTTTAGTAAGCTTTCATACTTGAGTTGTGTACTTTCCATTGAATTATAAAATTTAATCATCATTTCACTCAATATCTATCTGACCTTTGATTTGCTACTATTTTTGTTTTTCTTCTTTCATTTTTGTTTTTACGGTTCCTTTCCTTTTCCTTTTCCATCTGTTTGACAAAGTGATCAGCCTTTTAAAAACATCGTTGCAATGGACTCGTACTGCATGCTAATTGGGGAAGGCTTAGGAATTTCCAATAAATAACGATAGATATAGATATATGAGTTGACCAAATAAGCAGTGGTTGGGCCTCCAAACCTTTTACTTACTTCTCAATTCTCACCATTGTTCTGCCACGCATAGAGGGGAAGGACATACTATAGTAATTAGATTATCAGTAATTCTAAATTCTCAAAAATCTTATTTGCCTATATAATTTTGAGTATCTATAAAAGAAATTAGCATTTTAAACCACCAAAATCTATATGAATTTTACTTAAGTGCACAAAAAATCTTATAATTTCACCTTAGTCTGTATTTTTTTACAATTTCTAGATCCGCCACTGCCCTTTGACATTGGGGTCCCCAGATCGAAGTTGCTGGTTCAATTATTCAAACTTACATTTGTTTATTGAACCATATAGTTGGAGCCATCTTCTTGGACTAGAGAAGTTTGTTTGTGCTTAATTTAAACGAGATCTCTCATAGTTTGTCAAACAGATATCTAGTCTCTATATATCTAATAAAAGAGGAAGCCTGATTTGACTTTGTGAAGTCATGGAGTTTTACATATATACACAATCACAATGACATATTGAATTATGCGAGTTTAGTACTAATCGAATTCCCTAATCTCAATCCAATCCAATCCAATCCAAACAAGAGAGTCTTACTAGAAATTATGGATAGCAAAATAGAGGACACATTGGAACAAAGCAACGATCTGGTGAGGGGTGAGGGACATACTTGTTGGTGGTGGAACAAAGTAACGATCGATGAAGCACGGGTACGGATACTATTACGGGTATGTTATGAGTATGCCGATATGGCAATTCTTAAAAAAAATAAGATACGAATACGGCTAAATATTTTATTTTTTATAATTTATAATTTCAGATTCAACCTACAATCAAAGTTCAATATCAAAACTAAAAGAAGAAATTACAAAATCAAAAGATAGTTTTCATAGTTCAACAATACCAATACCAATACCAATACCAAAGCAATGTCCATAGGCTAATTTAATGCCATTAAATAGGAAACATTACAAAACAAAGTTTCATTCTAAAAACAAGGTAAGCAAAATTTTAAAAACTAAATTTCAATTTTTACTTCCATCAACTTCCTCATTGAATAATACATCTTTCATTTATGACATGTAAGGATTTACAATTGCAAGTAAATCACAATATTAAACCTATCTCCACCAATGTTCCATAACTTGGTGTACCCCCGATGTAACTATCACGTACCTAATTACCAAAGAATGTATAAAAAGTACTTGGTACGTATTTCGAGTATCGGTATGAGTACCAATATTCGGTATAAGTATGAAGACAAGTGTATAATGTTAGGTTTAAAATTTTGGGGAAGAGAGAGAGGGGGGGGGAGAGGGATGATTTCAGATTGTTTTGGGGTGTAGTTGATTTTTTTATTAAAAAAAAAAACTTATTATAAAAAGACAAGACAAAATGAAAAGAATTGATGTGATTAAAATAAATTAATAAGTTGATTTCCCAAAAGAAGCGTCGCAGACGGTTGAATTTTTGCAACAAATTTGATTTTCATCACTTGGTCATCAAGAGAGATATGGCGTACACCCCTTTATATGTATTCTACTACAAAAATTTATAATTTTATAATTTTATTATAAAATTTCGTAATATCAATTATAAAATACGTAATTTTGTTATAAATTGACATAAATTATGTTTAAAATTTTGTAGTTGACATTATAAAAGTTTATGGCTTGGTTATGATATTTTTTATGATGCCAAATTTGTGGAAGATTACGCATTTTAAAATTGATGTTACGAAATTTTGTGATAAAATTACACATTTTATGATAGGTGCACATCATAACATAATAACGCTAAAAGTAAGCACAAATCTCATGTCTCATTTAGGAACAAACTATTTTAATAATTTGTTGGTTAAAATATAAGGTCAAAAAATTAGTATATTTTGGAAGGTTTTTTAGTTTTTTACGAAAAAAAACTTAAAAAATGGAAAGAAAATAGAATCTTTGGCTCTTTTTATTTATTTATTTAATATATATATATATACCATTTAAGTCATAATGGAAGATCACATTGGATATAACTAGCCTTTTGTTTGTTATGAGTTAAGTCTGATTTTTTTATTTTTTTGATTATTTTAGCCTAGTTAAAAAAATTGTGTTTGGGATAAATATTGATTTTTTTTTTAATAGTTGATTTGATGATTGTAAGAGAAAAAAAAAATGAGATGATTATAATTTAGATATGATATTTTGTCTTATTGGTTAAATTAATCCGTTTTGTCTTTATTGGCTAATTTAGCCAAAATAATTCATGCCAAACGAAATATTGTGAATTTTTTACCTTTAAACTAAAATTCAATATTCCCAAAAGAGACCTACATCTTTAAACTTGACTAACAAGCTGGCCCGTTAACCCATGCTAGGTCAAAACCATTGGACAGAGCTTGCAGATAAGGTTTTCGGTGACCTAGCCTGACCTGGCCTTTATAAGAAAAGCTCATCAGGTTTAGCTTAAGCACTATTTTCGTAGGTTAATTCTAACTTGGCTCGATATGAACCATTACATGAGATGAGTGGAGGCTGTTCAAATCAAACCATGTATTGAGAAGAGATTTTTATAAAACGAAATGCTTGATTTTAATGTAGAAAGAAATGATTTGTTCCACTACCGTCAGGAAGAAGGGTTTCCCAACAGAGTGCAAAGGTATAATGAATTCTGTTTACCACTCAATGGCTCATAAATCACCAGAAGTAACTTGTGGTCCATTTTATAGAAAAAATGAAATAAAATCCTAACGAGAACACATATATGTGCTTAGAGTAGATTTTTTGTACCCAATTGTTCTCTTGATTTCATGGTTGCCAATGTTGTCCAAATCAAAAATTTGACAGATTTAACTTGCTATTAATCTTGCTTACCATGTAACCCACTTTTTAACTGCTCATGGGCCATGATAGTGACATGTGTCATCATTATACTTCACTATTATGCATGACTTACACTTCAATATCATGGATGACTCTGTTCAAATTCTAAACTTATGTTTGGCAAAAATTAAAAAAAAAAAAATCTAAAAACTTGTGATTATAAAAGTAATTTAAAAAAAAAGTTCAATCTTACAAAACTAAATTATGTTCAAAAAAACACGTCAAAGTGATGTAAAGATGATGCTTTTATAATTAAAAGTCAACCCAATAGGTTTTATCCTGAAGTAAAATATTCTAATTCAGTCGCACAAAAATTATAATTAATCTTTCTTTTTGTATGATATTACTTAATGAACAAAGTAAATACAAACAAAACTTTTATGTGTAAGTATAATTAGGATCATATAGAACCACATCATTCTACATAAAAATTCTGCTTATATAACATTCACTGCATTTGATTTTAATTTTTTGAATTCAATTTTTTGAAAATTAAATTTTTTATTTTTTGAATTTTTTTGTTTTTAGTGAATATTTTAAAAAATTTAAGCATTTTTTTTACTTTTTTATATGCACCTTATAACTTAGATGTATCTAAAAAGTAAAATATTTGTAAAAAAATATTTAAAAAAATCAATAAATATACAAGATTATGAAAAATGTACTGAATTTTGTTTTTTTTTTTTTTTGTTTTTTTTTTTTTTGGTATTTAGTGAATTTTTTAAAGATTTTTTTCACAAATATTATAATTTTTAAGTGTATTTATGTTAAGTATATCTAAAAATTTTATTAAAAAAAAAAAATTTGTTTAAAATATTTTTAAAAAATTCAGTAAAAATAAAAAAAATATGGAAAATAAAAAATTTTAATTTTCTAAAAAGTGAATTCTAAGTTATGAAACCAAACAACTCTTTAGTTCCAGGAAAAATGTAATATAAATAGCAAAAGCCAAAACAACAAGTGTACTTGCAAATTAACAAAAGATCTCATTGAATTTGAGAGTTGAGGAATATTGAAAGCCTTGGTAAAGACAAAATTCAACTTCTCTCTTTAAAAACAGAGTATGTTCCTTAATTAACTTCATTGTTTCCTCACACTATACAATCAAAGTCGAATCAGGAGCCTATACAATATAATTAAGCAAATTTATTGAAGTAACAAATAAAACCATAGTGTGTCAACTATAAATTGGATAGTTCATTCTCTTTTCTAATTCAAAAAATCATCCCACGTAGTTGAAATAATTCAATAGCTGCCTTACTCTGTCTAGTAACGGATATTATTCATTGAATTCAAACATTCTAGATGGTATATTTTCCTTCTTATTTTGTAGTCTAAATATTTTGGAGCTAAGATATGGCCCCATCACACCTCTTTGGTGTTAGATAGTCATTAATCACTTGAAGATTTGCCCACTTTTTGCAAGAAAGGGCAATACTGGAACATCGAGGAAGGGAAGAAGCAAGCTTCGACTACTTTGGTTGAAAGCCTGCGATTAAAGAACATCTTTTCCACTAATGTTAGTTTTTAAGTGCAATTTAGTTTATACGTGTCCACTAATGTTAGGAATACAGAAACTAAACATACATAGAAACAAAGAAACTAAATTCATAATGAAAAACTAGTCATCCATTTTATCTCTGTATTCCTAACGAAAAGCTCAATCTGTACTAACACCATAACTAGTTATTAGGTCTAGTGAGCATCATTGGGAGAGCTCCTTGGCACAGCGATCCTTGTCTTCTTGATGGACACCATAGTCATCTTTACTTATAAAACCAAAACCATCGCACCAAACCTAATAATATCCATCCTTGTACGCCTTACTATCGCAATACTAATTCTTGCCACCTTCCCTGTTTCTGGAGGCTACATCAACCCTATTATCTCCTTCTCTGCCACCTTCGTCGGCCTTATATCTTTTTTGCGTGCTGCAATCTATATTGTGGCCCAATGCCTTGGAGGTGCTCTAGGGGCACTAGCACTCAAAGCCGTGGTTAGTAGCACCATTGAGCAAACCTTCTCACTTGGGGGTAGGGATGGCAACGGGGTGGGGCGGGGCCGGGGATCACACTCCCCGTCCCCGATCCCCGATGGTGAAAATTTCCCCGGCCTCAATCCCCGACGGGGAGCCTATCACCTTCCCCGTCCCCGTCCCCTAACGGGGATCAGGTTTC